ATATATATATATATATATATATATGTAAGAGTCATTGCACAAGTAGAGGCTCCAATACATGCTCACAATCCAATACCAAATCTCAGTGCACAATTCCTATATTCGACACTGGTCAAGTGTCCAAACTAGCACTATTCTGAGTGTCTGCGCTCACAATGCCCAAAATAACATGGGTAATTACCTGACTTCGGAGGTACGGTACCTTATCCAAGTATCGTTGCGACGTGCAATCTGATCCACTAATAGTAAATATATCATTGCAGCGTGCTGCCAGATCCACACATGTGACTATTGCAGTGTGCGACCTGATCCACACATATTATCGTTGTGGCGTGCAACCCGATCCACGCACAAATCATCAATAATCAATATCCACTCATAATGTCCACGGTGCCAAAGTTCTCATCTTTTCACAATATTCAACTCTCCAGCTCTTGAATATATGTATGAAGCAATATAATTACGAGGCAACAGATCACAATAATAGAAATACGGATAAAAACTCATATGGCTAAAATATGATTATGGATAATCATGTAATTTAATTCATCTCAACAATTCAATTAAACAAATTTCATATTCAACAGTCTATTCCTAACATTTAATATGAATAGATTAAGCCATGTAAGAACCAAGTCATGAATCAATAAAACAAGTGTATGACTACGACTTAAGAAAAAGGCCCAATATGGCAAAATATTCATTATGACCAATTTAACAAGTCATAAATTTAAGCATGCTTCTAAGCACAATTACAAGTCATCACCTAATAGAATCAATGAAATATAAATAACAAGTTTACATAATCCAAACAAGGCATAATCATAAGCCAAACTCTACCAGATATGGTCACAACCTAGCTACATATTTATGCTCGTTACCGTACATATATGTAGCTCCTAAATCAAGCAACATGCATCAAATAGATTAGCTATACGGAGAATTCTCTCTTACAAGGATAGACAAGAGACTTACCTCCATCCCAGAACACCTTCAATTTTTCAAAATAGCTTTTCCTCTCAAATCAACCTCCAAATGACTCGAATCTAGTCAAAAGCAACTCAATAACATCAAACAAAGCCATAGGAATTAATTTCAAACAATAAAGCTTTAATCTTTAATTAAATCCCCAAAAGTCAATGTGGGCTCACATGGTCAAACCCGAGTCAAGGGATAGATCCCGACCACCCATGACCCCACGAGTTTAAATATATGATTAAATTCTAAAATCGAGTCCAATTAACCCTCAAATTTCCAAAATACACTCTCTTAAGTTGTAGACAAAAATCTCAAATTCTCTTATTCAAATCCATGCTTTGATGTTAGATCTAGTGTTAATTCCATATAAATCACTTACCCCCCAAGCTTATGTGTGAAACCCTAGCTTCAAACTCCTCAGAATAAGCTCCAAAATTTGGGGAATAAAATAAGAAATCATAAATTCGGTTTTAAATAGTCCATGCAAAAAATATTGCCCCGCACCGTGAAAATGACTATGCGGACCGCATAAATGATTTGTGGTCCACGAAAGCATTGTGAAACGAAATAGTCCCACTCTCCAGCCATCGCGAAATAGATATGGAGTCCGCAGATCCATTCTGCGGTCCGTAATATTCACCGCGAAATTGACCAGACCAAACTCCCCAATGACCGCGAAATTGACGTGCGGCCCATAGAACCATTTTGCGATCCGCGCAACCCTTCGTGTAAATGACCTACCAACATCTAATTTCTGCAATCTCACTCCGAACATGTTGAAACTCACCTGAGTCCCTCAGGACCCAATCCAACCATACCAACATGTCCATAAACACTATCCGGACCTATCCAAAGTCTCAAAACACATCTAAAAACATCACAATAATGAATCGAGGATCAAATCTAATAGATTTCTCTTAAGTTCGTAAACTTCAAAACTTCCAAACAAACGTCCATTTACAAATTAAAAACCTCGAATCTCAACCAAACTTTGCAAATAACTTCTATTCAACCATATGATTCTATTCCAAATCTCGAAATATCAATCGAGGTTCAATAATACCAAAGTCAACTCTTGGTCAAACTTATGAATTCTCTATTTCTTCAAATTGCTAACTTTCGACAAATAGAGCCAAAACCTTCTAGAAACCTCCCAGTCCAAATTCGAACATAAGCTCAAGTCCAAAATCATCATACGAATTTATTGGAATCATCAAGTATCGATTCCGAGGCCGTTTACTAAAAAATCAAACATTGGTCAACTATAACAACTTAATCTTCCTAAATTAGTCTAAGTGTTCACAAATCACTCTCAAACCTTTCTGAAACCAAACCAATCATCCTTACAAGTCGTAAAACAACAAACAAATAAACATATGAGAAACATCAAATAGGAAAGTGGGGCTCAAATACATCAAACGACCGGTCATATTGTTGCACTCACCACCAATCGAGGTTCACCGGATACTCGGAGCATTAAATGGAAAGGACTCACGTCACTTCAAATTCAAAAGTGATGATGACGGTTTCGGTGGTTTTCCTCTTAAACCTTATCACTTCCCGGATAATATTTCGAAAACTACTCGAAAAATGACGGTTTCGACTGGTTACTCCATCCCCGTTCTTTCCATTCTTGTCCCATTTTTCAAACAAAATTTCATGAAATAATAAAATCGGGTAGATTGTCTATTTTATCAGTGAACTATATTAAAGAATTTCTTTTTGAAAAATTCCAATTATTCTCAACGACTACTAGCAATTAGTTGTACCATTAACGGTTATATATTAATGAAATTTTTTGTAGGTCGTTGGAATTTCTTATTAACTTCCATATCGACGCATAAGTTTAGCTGATAATTCAATTTGGCTGTGAATATTCTCCTACGCACCCCCTTTTTCCCCTGTCTGTGAATATTCTCCCAATTGGGCAGGAGAGAAACTAGGTGTGTGCCTATTTTGAGAATGGTTTTTATAAGGCAGGCCGAATAAAAAGCCCAATAAAGAATGAATACAGAAATATTTGTACTCCTCATTCCACCTCATGCTAACTTCTCTTATCCTTTTATTTATCACATTCCAAAGAAACACACTCTTCTCTTTCTCCCTCCCTCCCTCCTCCATCTTCTTCTTCATTCTCTTCTCTGCAGAGTTTTCTGGCTTCTATTTCAAACCCATTTTGCAAAATTCAAGAATTATTGAATAGTTTTTGCTTCATGGACTTATAATTTAATATACGTCAAGATAGTGTACCTATGGTGTGAAAATAAGTGAGAACTTATGACTCCCTTATTATACCTTTATGTGAATTTATAGTAGAAATTAACATGTCTTGCCTATTGCCTCAATTCAAGTGCTTGCCTGATACTTTTGCCCTTAGCTTCAAAACCCATCAACAGTCTGCCCCTCAACTCTGTAAGTCTCTTCCTTTCCCCGCAAAAAATACTCCGTACCTTTTTTTTTTTTTTTACTGAGTTGAATTTAATGTATTTTTTTAAGTAGTTATTTTTCTGATGGTGTTTAAAAGTGAATGTTCAATGAGGAAATATCTCTGTTTTTTATGTAAATGATTTTTGCTAATATTTTCTTGCCAATTTATATATTTATGCGACTGAGGTGAGCAATGTTTTAACTTTGTGAATAACTTCAATGAATATGGAGATTCAAAGATTTTGTTTTTAGAAAGAAGAGTCAAGACGAAACTTTGGTACTGAATCCCTTATAAAAGAAATCGAAGAAAAGTTCTCAACTTTATAAAAATTTAGATTCTTGATTGATATTAGATGTTGATTTTTTAGTTATTGAAGAAATTATGTAGGAATAAAAGATTCTGAATGACTGAATCTATCCTTTGTCTACATAATCAGACGGTGATCATTGCTTTTGGCTAAGAGAGCAAACATCTAATAGTACTTTTTATTTTGAAGAAAAATTTTACAACACGTGAGTCCATTGGGTTTAAATCCTAGATCAACCTCTGCATGTAAACAATGTTGGCTGCAAGGTGGACTGTATTAATATAAATTAATGTAGTATTAGACTTTTAGATTCTTGATGAAGTCTATACGAATCCAGTTACTACCTAAAAGTAGAAACTTACTGAGAAACATACATACCTCGCAACTACTGTTTAGGTACACTTAGGGAGAGGGAGGGTGAGGGAACCTAAAGCTAGCAGTTAGTTAAATAACCGGTAAGCTGCTGAATCGGAACTCTTTAAGGCACACCTTTACTCCCATTTATTCACGCTTTCACACCTCAGCATCGGCAGGGACCCAGAGAGCTGTCTCCGCTTTTTATTCCCTCTTGCCAATAAACTTTCCCCAGCCTTCGATTAAATCCACTTCTTTCGAAGTAGGTGAAGAGGATCGACTGACCCGGGTTTTCACGAGCATTTGCGGAGGCCGCCCGGTTTGAGTCTAAATGATTTGGTAGTGCGCAAGCCGAAGGATCGATGTCCTCTAGAGCTAACATAGAAAGAGATTCCCAGATAGCAAACCCAAAATTTATTAAACCGAGATATGGAACTCCAGCAAGAAATCTATTGAAGAGTTGGTGTTGGATGGAGCAGGCACACTGACAACTCTGATGTGAATGAACTTATATTACTCTGAGGATCATAAGTTGCTTGTGTCTATTGATGATGCTTAGGAAAGGTGGGACTCTATCTCCACTATTTATTCCGAGTGAGAGCTTTATACAATCAGGACTATCTGTGCTAGTTGTATTTTCAAAAGACACAACTCTTGTGGTTGACTATTTCTTTTAATTTTTTCCTGTCATTGCCTCTGTAAGCTTGGAAGAATGCGGGGAAGGCAGGCTTGGAGTGGCTCACTAGGTTATTTAATATCATTTTTAGAACGATAAAGATGCCTGAAGAGTGGAGGTGGAGCATGACAAGATGCGGGAAGCGCGGCTTAGGTGGTTTGGTCATATGAGTAGGAGGAGCACAGACGCCCCAGTGAGGAGGTGTGAGAGGTTGACATTGGAGGGCCTACGGAGAGGTAAAGGTAGGTCAAAGAAGAGGTTGGGAGAGATGATTAGGCAAGACATGACGCAACTGACCGAGGACATGACGCAACTGACCGAGGACATGACCCTTGATATGAAGGTTTGGCGGTTGAGGATTAAGGTAGTAGAGTAGGTAGTCTCGAGTGTTCATAACAGTAGTATTGGCACGCAGTCTCACTTTCTGTTGGTAGTAGGTTTTTATGACTAACCGTTGTTTTCTTTCATTGTTGATCACCTTACTATCTTGTTGTTTTTATTCTGCTTTTATATGGCTTTTTGGTACTATCCCTTCTTGTCTATATTTTCATTAATGTGGTGTTATGCTTTCCTGAGTTGACGGTCTATTGGAAACAACCTCTCTATCCTCACAAGGTAGGGATAAGGTCTGCGTACACACTACCCTCCCCAGACCCCAGGGTGTGGGATAATACTGGGTATGTTGTTGTTGTTATTGTTGTTGTTGTTGTTGCCTCTGTAAGCTTGATTTATGAGCTGCAGCCTTTTGCTTTGCGACAAGTGTGTGATGACTTCTATTTGGTGATCTACCAGTTTGCATTATACTAAGTTTAGTGTTACTAATAGACCTGGATGCAGATTGATTCTAAAGTTTTAGCTTGATTCACTATTACTTATATCCTTGCGTGGTTGGGAATGTGTTAATTATCCATATTATAGGACATAGAACTCCATGGTTCTTAATATCGTCCTTTCTGAAATGCAGCAAAAGGTAGAGATCCTTCTCAATTGCGGACTCAATGTGTCTTATCCACTACATCAACAGCGGCAGCTACAGTGCTTGATATTGAGAAGCTACAGTTACCATCTATAGACAGATCATGGGAAGCACCCTCGGCAAATGCCACAACCACAGCAGTAGATGTACAGAGGCTAAAGTTGCAGTCTTTGGAGGCTCAGTCACTGAGATACAGTGGAGGAGTTGCTCTGTCCACTGAGGTACGACTTAAATGGATAGCCTAGAAATATATAGAGACTAATCTTGAACGCTGAGAAACTGAATCGTGTTTCTATCTCTCTGAATAGAACGATGAGATAAGTTTCAGGTGGACTTAGTTTTTCGGTAAAAAAAGAAGAAAGAAGCAGTACTGAGTAGTTCTTTTTCTTTTAAATTTGAGTAGCTTTCTAGGTCACAAGTGGAAGCAGGTTATATATTATATTTGGCCAGAGTCAAATTTTTATGCCATCGAAATCACTTCACTTTAGCACCATGGTGTCTAGTTATGGTTCCTAATATGCTATTTGTATTGGATCTTACTCTGTCTCCTCATTGGTTGTAATATGCCCAGTGTGAAATATGAAAAGGCTGTTACTTGTAAATTGCTGATTCAGTACGTCTGCAGGCAAACACTAAAGCTGCTTTAGCTACTGAAAATCTTCTTACGGGTGAAGAAGCTGTAATAGCTGCTTCTGCTGCTGAAGCAGTTGCTTTGGCAAAAGCTGCACTAAAAGTTGCAAAAGATGCTGTGATGATGGTCGGCCATAACAACTCAGATAACAATATGGCAGGTGTGGATACTACCCAGCTGCTTGAGAGGTTTCAACCTGGTGAGACGGGGCGACACAGCATAGTTGGGGAGCTAAAGGCAAGTGAGATGAGATGGAGTGAAAGTAATTCATTCGGGAACTCACTTACAGATTCTGAGGACCTGGAACCAACACATGAAGAGCTGGAACTTCTTCAAACAGATCTTTTAAATGGTATAGCTGTAAGATCTAAGCGTCAAAATGAACGGAAGGCTAGAAGAGATAGAGCAGCAGAGAGGGCTGCAGCCAATGTTGTGTCAGTGAAGTCTGGTTTCGCAGGCCGAAAAAAGCGTGCGTCAGTACAAGATGTTGATTACTCTGATCCATTGCGTTACTTGAGAGGAACGACAAGTACTTCTAGGCTGCTCACTGCATCTGAAGAACATAAGTTATCAGAAGGAATACAGGTGCTAAGTTGCCCTTTTGCCTTCTGAGATTTTGTACAAGCATTTTCCTTTTCGGCTGCAGCAACAAGCACCCTTGCACCAGCTTTTACCTTTCTTTGTTCATCCCAAGTAAATTATATCTTTCCAGTTGCTTATCTTTGGCTCAAACCTAAGTGTTGTTTCTTAAATCTAAATCTGAAGAACTACTTTCATATTTCTTTCTCTTTTTGTTACATAGTGAGGATCCAAGTCTATAGGTGCATGAATAGTTTGTGAATCTTTTCTTTACCCTGCTATGGATGTTGATTTCCTATCTGGCTGTGAAGATGTTCAATGAAAGTCAATCTACTTTAGTAAACATCATGTCAAAAAGAATACTTCTTGTTTAACTGAAATTGTCTGCTTCCATGAACAATTATGAGCTTTTAGTAGAACACCGCAAAAGTTGCTCTTGGATCTTTTTGTTTATTGCTTCAAATGAAGGATCTAGTCGCGAACTCTTAATAAAGTGCTGAGACATCATTGTATCTACTGCTAGCTTCTTTCTCAAGTTTATGTTTATATTTTATTTTTCTGAGGAGTTCACTTCCTACTTTTCCTTGAAAGTGTTATTTTTGTGTTTGTTCTTTAATTAATTTGTGATGACAAAAAAACAGGAGCTACTGAAGTTGGAAAGGCTTCAGGAGGAGCTTGCAGAGCGCTGTGGGGGTCAGCCCACTTCCGCACAATGGGCTGCTGCAGCCGGAGTTGACCTGAAGACCCTACGGAAGCGTATAAGCTATGGAATTCTTTGTAAAGATAAAATGATTAAGAGCAACATAAGGCTTGTTATATCCATTGCCAAAAATTATCAAGGAGCAGGAATGAATCTTCAAGATTTGGTTCAGGTATATATGGGGCAATTATATATGATCACGAGACAACCCTCAGGGGTTGGCCTGGTGGCAATTGACTTGAGCCTTGGGGTTTGCTCCCTTTCAA